GATCTCCGATGTAAGCGCCTTATTTTTGGACCAAGGGGTTTCGGGCGGCTTTTTAAAACCATGGGATACATTGTGCGACAGCCAGTCAAGGACGACAACGTCGACAATGACCTGAATATCTGGAACACGAGCCGCGCATCGACGTCATTGCATGATCCGGCGCGACCACCAGCAGACATTACGTAACCCCCCTCACATCTCACTAGCCACATACTTGACTCTTGTGTGTATCTGCGCCACAGTCACTACATGTGGCGCAGTCAGCTGGTTTCCCTAAGCGGACTAGACTAGTTGGTACTAGTAACTAATGAGTGACTTCCCCAACCCAACTCATTCGCAGCTCACTCACTCTTAGCCGTCCTCCATTATCGTTAGGCCGTCGGGTGTCAACCACAAGAGCCACTTCTCCCTCACTCTCTACCCACCTATCAGCGCTTCGTCTCTTGGTTGAGGTAGATAACCCATTGGTTTGCCCTCACATCCCTGCCTCCTTAGCCTTCTCGCAAAAAAGTACGCTTCAGGGTTGGCGCTTGCCAAGCACCCTTCCTTGAAGCTGCAGCAGCGCGCTGTGCTGTCCCCTCAGTCCTCGTTCGCTCCGCCTCGTGCTCTCTCCGCTTGACGCTCGGAGAGCTCCTTGCCTGTCCTTACCTCTGCTGAAATGCTAGAGCACGTTGTCCAGTATGACAGAAACAAAGATGCAGTTGGAAGACTGTGAGTCCCGCCTTGACGCTTGTCTCCCCCGCCCGTGTGACTACGGTGACCTCGGCTGTGCTAACTTGGATGGCTCCGGGCAGGGCTGGATGATTTGTGTGTTCGCTTTATCATTAACTTACCCCGAGAAGAGCTCGAATCTGTTGAACGCATCTGTTTTCAGGTTGAAGAAGCACAATGGTTTTACGAAGACTTCATTCGGCCGTTGGATCCGGCTCTCCCGTCCTTGTCCCTGAAAGCCTTCGCTTTGCGCATCTTTCAGCATTGCCCATTGATGTCCCAATGGTCGCATTATCATCATATCACCGCATTCTCTGAATTCCTGGCCTACAAAACCCGGGTCCCGGTGCGCGGTGCCATCATGCTTAACGATGACATGGATGAGGTGGTCTTGGTCAAAGGTTGGAAGAAAGGCGCCAACTGGAGTTTTCCACGAGGCAAAATCAATAAAGATGAGAAAGACATCGACTGCGCCATTCGAGAAGTCTACGAGGAAACTGGTTTTGACGTTCGGGAAGCCGGATTGGTCCAAGATGAGAAAGATGTCAAGTTCATCGAAATCACCATGAGAGAGCAGCACATGAGGCTGTACGTTTTCCGGGGTGTGCCACAGGACGCTCATTTTGAGCCGCGTACTCGCAAGGAGATTAGCAAGATTGAGTGGTACAAGCTGTCGGAGTTGCCGACACTGAAGAAGAGCAAGCAGCAAGATCAAGGCTTCGCCGTCGCCAATGCGAACAAGTTCTATATGGTAGCTCCGTTTATGCATCCGCTCAAGAAGTGGATTGCCCAACAAAAGAGGCTTGAAGGAAAGACTCCAGGTGGCCCGAAGCTACCTATGCAGAACGACATGTCGATCGACGAAGCTTCCCATGCCGTGCACAGCTTCACACCAAACCAGGCCGCTGCGGAAATGGCTACTCCGAGTGACTTGCCAGAACTTGCGTCGACTCAAGATGCCTCTGCTCACCTTAAGCGCCTTCTCAACATCAACAATCTGGTTCCTTCTGGAAATACATCGCCAATCATCCATGCACCAGTCTCAGGGCCCAGTGCCTCTAAATCCAATGCTCTTTTAGAGCTGCTGAGGACCGGCTCGTCTCGTGAATCCCTTCCACAGGCCCATATTCCAGAGCAGCAATCGATGCCGGCGCCTCTCCCAGGGAGTGTGCCTCCTGCGAGTCGGCCTTATCCCGCGATGGGCTTCTTCCCGGGCTTTCCCCAACAAGGCCCTCATGTCGGCGTACCCCCAAGCTTGCCGTCATACCCACAGCCCAATCACGGTCCTGTACCACATCTACCAGCATCCATTGCCAACGCAATGCCTCATGGCCAGTTTAATCAAAGTCCGCTCTCTGCTGCTCCAGGGCCATCGGGTAGTTTTCACGGAACTTTCCCCCCTCAGCAGTCGCTTGCATCACACTTCCACAAGGACACAGGCCCGCTGGCAGAACTCGCTCCCGCTCCGCAGAGCCAAGCCGCCCCGGCCCCCTACCATCGAACCGGTGATCCTCAATTCTCTCAATCAGGTCATCCTTCCCAAGCTCAAGGTGCGACCGTGCCACCGGCGAGAAATCTGCCTCCACCAAAACTTACGAGCCATTCCCTGGCTCTGTTGAATGTTTTCAAGGATGACTCGACCAAAACACCCAAGACGCCCAAGGCGAACTTGGTGTCCCATACTGGACCGGCGCAAGCCAGTGAACGAAGACCATCACAACATCAGGATCACCTCCTTAATTTGTTGAGAGGGTCTCCTGCTCCTGCTGTCTCTGGGCCGGCCGAACTATCGGGTCAGTCAGTGTCCCCGGCTAGAAAACAAGTCCTTCAACGACCCCGGGGGGACCATAGCCCTGCGCGGCGCAGTTCGCCCGCAGCTCATCCATGGGCTTCTGCGCCAGCTTCTGGACCGACCATGCATACTCCACAACCCGGAGCTCAGAAGCCATCAAGGAAGGCACAGAATGGGCCGAACCGCAAAGGATTCAGAAACGAGCAGGCATCGGCTGTTACGGCCCCTATAACGATCTTGGCAAGACCGCAAGCCGCCAAGGAACAGCCTCCTGCACGCGCTTCTCCGCAAACCTCCCGTCCTCCCTCCCAGCCTAGGGGTCCAAAACCCAGTTCTCCGGAGCCACCTAAACCTTTCCAGCCGCAGATTTTACGTCGCTCTGATAATCCAACTGCGATCAATCTTCTCCCGATTCGGACTGCACTCAATGAGAGTCAAGATCAACAGGCCGCCGCACGCTCCACGGAATCCCCTCGGCATTCGCAACCTCAACCCAGCTTCGACCGCCGACCGAGTCAAACTGTTGCGCAGAAGGAGATGCTCCTATCACTCTTTGGCAAAACCTCTGTCTCTCCAAATATTTCCCCTGCGGAACTGGGCACATCTGTTCCGAAACCGTCGCAGCCTTCTTCTGTCGTCAGTCCACTGTCGCCGGTCAATTTGCCCGCTGTTCCTAACGTTGGCCAAACGCCTCATGAAATGGAGGATAGTCAGGCATCTAATGCCAATAAGGTCTCTTCGCCTGTCAATAAGGCATTCTTGCTTGGGTTTCTGGAAGGAGTTGCCAAAGGACACAAGTAACTCGGTCATTTTTGCTTGATAGGACCATCCCCTATACATATGCGTCTCTAATGAAGTTAGCGGTTGATTGCTTCATGATCTTGAAATTAATTTTGATATTGTCCATGCTACAGTGAACCCTCCATCCAGCTACACTTTCCTATGCGGAGTAGATTCTCCCTTTTGGGCTAGCTCGTAAGACAGATTATGTCATGCTCTATATTCTGCCCTTTTCCACCGCCTTACCGACGATGTCATTCATGGGCCTCTGATTTGTAAACGCTACGCAGAACCAATTCCAGTATCAGCCCACAAACATGATGCGCGCCAGCCCATCTACACGCACAATATGTGCGCAATGTCTCGGTCGCAATCGATATTTTTCCACGACCATCCAGCGTTGCGCCCCACGATCCACCACCCCGAACCCACCCTCCCCGCCAGCAACCGGATATGCACGTCTCACAAACCGCGGATTAATCTCCATAACGGGCATTGATAGCACCTCATATCTCCAAGGCTTAATCACACAGAACATGCTCATCACGAACGACCCGAACCGTGCAACTCGTCGAACAGGCTCCTACACTGCTTTCCTGAACTCCCAGGGCCGAGTGCTCAACGACGCTTTCCTCTACCCGCTACCCCAGGCAGAGGGCACATCGCCGGATGAACACGCATGGCTGGTAGAAGTGGACAAGAGCGAAGTCACGACTCTCTTGAAACATCTCAAGAAACACAAGCTCCGCGCGAAACTGAAGCTACGTGCCCTGGACGAGGGAGAACGCACTGTGTGGGCCTCATGGAAAGATCATAGTGAGCCCCGGTGGGCAGCATATAACCTGGATTCTCAGTCACTTTCGCCCTTTGCCTCATCTTCTGCGACGGTTACCGGGTGTGTAGATACCCGCGCACCAGGGTTCGGCTCTAGGCTTGTCACACCAGGCGAGGCAGACTTGACGACGCATCTGGCGGAGGGAGAAGGCGAGGGTTATGGATCGGAGGTGGATCTGGGCTCTTATACCGTGCGACGGATGTTGCATGGCATTGCGGAAGGGCAATCGGAGATAATCCGCGAGTCCGCGCTTCCGTTGGAGTCTAACATGGATATGTCGCGGGGTATCGATTTCCGCAAGGGATGCTATGTCGGTCAGGAGCTTACGATCCGGACGCATCATACGGGTGTTGTGAGGAAGCGCATACTGCCGGTTCAGTTGTATAATGGGGATCTAGGCGACTTAGGGTCGGCCGATATGCCGGTGTATGACCCCTCTGTGGAGGTGGAGATGCCGCCATCCGGGTCGAACATTTCCAAGGTCAGCGCGCGCAAGGGCCGTAGCGCGGGCAAATTCTTGGGCGGTGTTGGAAATATCGGACTTGCTTTGTGTCGATTGGAGATGATGACGGATGTTGCTTTGACTGGGGAGGTGACCCAATATAGTCCTGATCAGGAGTTCAAGGTCTCATGGACTGGGGCTGAAGATGGATCGTCTGAGGCTGGCGAGGTGAAGTTGAAAGCACTTGTCCCAGCTTGGACGCGAGAGCACATCTACAATGGTGGAGTGAAGAAAAACCAGGGCCGTAACCTAGAGCTGGAGGGACAGCGAGCCAGGGAACTGTTGGAACAGTTGGAGGAAGAGGAGGAGTCACGATGAAATGATCAACTGCGTCAACAATGTATCATAGACCCCACTTGTAAAATATTGTCAAAAATATACCGGTAAATACCATATCTTCAAGTCTCATTTAGCGAAAACGCAAGTAGTTGATAGTACAAAACGTGAGGGTATCTCTATGCTTGAATGAAGTGTCTAAGAATACATAGCGCAGCACTTATGCTGCCGTTGAGTTCATCCGACCATGTAACGCCTTTGTAAATGCGCACCATGGCCTCGAGTCATTGAAAATATATCGCATCTATACCTTGGCTTCAGCCTCAGCTGCATCTGCAGCTTCATCTTCTTTCCTAAGCTGCTCTTCAAGGGCCTTGCGTTCCTTCTCCCGCTGCGCATTTCTCAACCGCATCAGCGTCAGCTCCGCCATACTCGGGGCGCTCGAGCCGTTGGCCGAGCCAGCAGGCGCAGATTGCGCCGACTTTGACGCCGCGCCAGCAGCAAAGGAACCGAAGGATGGTGCTTTTCCGGGTTTCTTATCAGCAGTATCAGACGCTGCTGACTTCAAACCAGCAAAGTTGAAAGATGGTTTGGGAGGGGCAGCGGGAGGAACTGGACCTGAAGAGTTGGGTGCTGCGATGCCCTGTTCCAGGGGAGTGGAAGCAGTAGAATAGGCGTTGGCTGCAACGCTCAGGTCGGGTTGGCTGCCAGATGCCCAGAAGACAGATTCGATGACAGACCACTCGCTGTCCGCTTGCCCAACACTCTGACGCAACCTCTTCTCACTGTTCAGAACAGCAAAGTGGGCGCCGACGATGGAAGCGAATATCACCACAGCTGTCGCAACCGTCTTCTTCTCGCGGTTGTCTCCGATACGTTGTCGTTTGTCCTTGAGGAGCAGGATGTTCTCGATCTCGCCGTAAGACGAGAATAGAGAGATCAACCGATCTTTATCCAGGTCCAGCCCGCGTCCTTCACGTACCCAACGCACCTTGACACCTCGTTCTAGTTCCGGAACATTCGTGCCACCCTCTTTCGAGCGATCAACCTTCTGACTACTCCTGTCCGCCGCCCGTTGCGCCTCTTCTTCCTCCTGGCGCATGAGCTTTTCCTCCTCCTCCATTTCCTGCTTCAGTTTTTCCTCCGCCTCACGTCGCCGCCGTCGTCCATCCTCGGCAATCCGCTCAATCTCCCTCTGCAGCTTCGCTTCAGCATCGTCATCAGCGCCGCCCCCCATCCACGGCCGCTTCACACCGCGTTGCGCACCAGCGCCACCCATCGCCGCAGCCCCCGCGCGCTCCCTAGCCTCCAAGTCCTCTCTCATCTTCCTCTTCGCAGCATCCATCATATCCCGCTCGCGCTGTTTGCGCTGGCGCGCCTCCCGCGCATTATCGTAGAGCTGCCGCACCGACGGATCGGAAAGAACATCGTAGGCGATCTGGAGCGTATGGAACTTGTCGATGTCTGCAGGTGTGGGGTTCGCGATCTTATCTGGGTGGTACTTCAGAGCGGTTCGGCGGTAGGCGCGACGAATTTCTGATTCTGCAGCGGCCGGGGAGATATCGAGGAGGGCGTAGAAGTCTTCATTGGAGGCCGCGTGGGCCTTGAGGTCGTCTTTTGAGGCCATGGTGGTGCGCGTTTGGCCGTCGCGGTATTATTTTTGAGCTCAGACGTGGTTTATTTCCTCGGGTTTTGTTATGCTGAGTCGATGTGGTGTTTTAGTTGGCGATGCACGCCTCTTGGAGGTCTGGTGTTGGAGAGATGAATGAGAAGAGAAAGTGGTAGCACAAACCGATGAAGCTTCATGTCAGGCTTGGCGGGAGGGTCTGGCTGGCGGTGGCGGGTCTGGCTCGGCTTCACTTTGTCCATCCGATCAGACCAAGTGCTTATCCAGTAGTAATAAATGCTCTTTTAGCCTGACACAAAATACGTCAATGTTGACACTCATTTTAATCGTGATTCGCAGTACATTTCTAAAGTTGTGACAATATTCAATTCATTACTACTAACGCTAGTCGATACTACTATCGGCATACATCGTCTTCCCCTGCTAATATGCTAGTGGAACTTCCAAGATATATACTGTGTACTAAGTTACTAGTACTGACTGACAGCAGTTGAACTCTGGTAGACACTGCACGATTCCTGGCGTCCACCCCCTGAGGCAATCAAAAGAGTCATGACTCTACCGGTACTTCTTAATGTCCCCAAAGAATTGTTTCAGCGTAATCCAAATGTTTTCCTTGATTTTGATACCACGCACGTGCCTTCCAAATGAGGAAAGAGAGTAATGTGGACTCGACTCGACGCTTTGATGCATTGTGATACCACCTCGTCTCCCATCTTGTGTCGAACTTCTGGAAAAGTTAAAAAGAAAAAGAAATGAATGGAATTACAATGCCTTCACCCGCTCAGTTAGCTCTTGCAATGGCCATCGTCAAGCTCAAGCCACCGGATGTGGATCTGAAAGGCAATATTCCCGTCTTAGTACTTTTTGACAGAGCATGCAGATTGATTGAAAGTTTAGAGCATCTATTGCAGATTCGTCATCACATCAAAAGCACCCACCCATCTGACAGGTCTTACACGCATGACAAATTCTTCGACAGCGTCTCATTTTGGCAACAAGCATACGAGCGGTCCGAAGCAGAACAATGCAATTTGCTGGATCGAATATACGAACTAGAGCAACGCAATGAGTCTCTCCGGGCACGGCTCCAGGGTGCAGATATTGCTGGTGCAGAAAACGGTCAACCGACATTAAAACGCAAGACTACTGCGAAGGGTGCTGCTCCCGGTAGTGGTGCTGTGACACGGAAGAGAGCAAAGACCCAGACCTTCTCTCGAATGGATACCTCGGTGTTTGACAATAGTCTTTCTGCAGGATTAGATGGCGGTGTGGTCGATCATTTAAACTTTTCTGAACAATGTCTGTTCGCATACACCGTTAATGGATGGGATTATACTGACCGAAATTGCCTTATAGTCACTGCACCTTTCATGAGGCAACTCTACGCATTACAGAAAGTTCTGCAGAAACGGCCCAATAATTCAAACATTGTTAGGGCCGCAGTGGAGCTTTGCGCTACTGCAACCAAGAATGTTCTTGATGCGCTTGAACGACCAATCGTATCCCGGTCCACGACTAAAGTGATTCAACAGCTCAAGAAGCCGGATATACTGGCTGTCCTGAATAGCACCGAGAACGCTTTTCTTATCCTGATTGAAACTTTCAGGAAACTATCTGCATCTGGACAGCAAATGCGAGATGCTGGGCAGATTACGTACTCCATTGTTCGCTTATATGAGTCGGTTATAGAAGCTTTGGGTCGGCATTGCAGGACAAAAGCCGAACAGCAACTTCGTGAGTCTAAAACAAGCGCAAAACAAACTCAACAAAGGCAAAAGGCAAAATCCAAGCAATCTAGAACAGGCTGCCCTGCTGATGATCAGAACCAAGGAGATGAGACAGATGAAATAGCCACTCATGTGAGCTTGTTGCTGAGTAGAGTGGCACTATCGTTCAACATTGACTGTGTAGCTAAACAAAGTATACTTGAAGGGTTTTTATTCGTACTTTTGAGTCGTGTGGGAAAGCTACTTTCCTTGTTTGTCTTCCACGATTTGCGTTTGCGACCTGATTTACAGATGAATGATGCCAAGTTTCCTTTGCCAGGAGGTATGGAGGGAATTGACGTGGCTGAGAGCACATTACCCGCAGCGGCCATGGAGGCTAAGAGCCTTATATGGCCATTGGAAAGGATGCTAGTCTCACTCGAAGATACTCCATCTATGTCTTCAGATCCCAGTCATGGGTGTACAAACAGACAGTTGGCTGCAAAGCTCAAGGGAAAGCTACAGACTACCCTGCTTCAGTCGGTCTTTGGCACCGACACGCTTTGGCCAGAGGCTCTACAATACCCCATGGAGCCAGATGAACGGGACCTTGAACGACTTCAAACCTGCTCAAAAATCCCCGAGCAATCAGTGCCCGACTGGTTTGTACAAGAAATTTGGAGGCTCATAGGCTGGGAGATGCTAGCTGCGCGAAATTCCCCGAAGATGTAGACGTGGTGTTTCTGGCCGCAGTCTGGCCTTGGCCAGCCCGGAGGTATGAGGCCGGGATTTGCGTCCATCTGACATGTATGACTTACTGATCTCAACGGAAATACTTGCATTCTGCATATGCCACGGATGCGCAGTATCACTGACACGACTCACTGCAAGCACAAGCTCAAAGCAGATGGAGTCATGCCATGCAGCATTGCTATTATTATATAGTTCATGTCTATTTCAAATCTAGTATGCGAGCCGCGTTGCCCCCCAAGACCCCTGCAGCAGTATCTCCTTCTGATTCGAATGCAGTATGGATCGCTTTGTAATTGGTCGTCACACTCGGCCATTCTTCGTCATCCTTGCCCAAAGGAGGGAAGAACGGATGATCGGTTCCTATACTGGTATTAACAATGCCATCGCAGAGAAGCATCCCGGGACCAACGTACCGAAGAGAAGACGATCACTTCCTCCTGCTGCAGCCACAGCTGCTTTCAACCCAGCAGTGCCGTACACCACGGCGTCCAGATAGATATTGGTGCTCAGAACATCCCACACACTGCGTTGCGGACCGGGAACATCCCCCCCGTTGGCGATGAATTTGCGTTCATGAAGGATACAGCTCTCGATTCGACCAGCAAGGAAGGGGAGGGTACCTCCGGAATGAGCCAGGAGGATCTTCAACCGTGGGAAGCGATCAAAGACCCCGGCCAAAAGCATCCTCGTCACCGCAATGGTTGTCTCAAGAGGAAACCCTAGAGCTAGGGGAAGAACATGACCATAGCGATTCGTTACTTCGGGTCCACCAAAGGCTTCATCGGGTAGCCCATAGTGGGGGTGTAGGAACAACATGGACTCCGTATCTTGTAAGGCCTCCCAGACCGGATCCAGTCTACTATCGTCTAACCCCTTGCCTAGACCTGTTGTTCCCATGATCACCCCCCGGAGATGGGGCAATGTCTTGAGCCTTCTGATTTCGTTTACAACAATATCGGGGCTCGGGGCGCTGAGCGGAAGTGCCCCGAAAGCAAACAGCGTTTCCTTCTCATGGAGTGCCTTTGTCCTGTCAGGGTCTGCATCGTTATTTACCCGCGCACAAGTTGTCTCGAGGTCGTCATTGATGCGCTCTGCCCATGTCTGGGCTTCGTCCGGCTCGAGGAAGTCCAGCCACGGATTGGCCAAAGAAATAACGCTGCAGTTGATTCCATGGCGTCGCATAAAGGCCAATTTTACGTTGATGTCTGAATAGGACGAATCCACGGGGCGACCACGCTGATCGACGGGGATTGACGGGTCATCGTCGGATGAAAGGATGATGAGACGAGGGGTTGCATTGTTGGCTGGGTCGTGGACATAGGGGACTGTCTTACGCGCGCGAAGCATATGCATATAAGAAGGAGGGTAGACATGAGTGTGGATGTCGACGATCAGGGGGGGCATCTTGACGTGTGTATTATGATAGACAGTAATGAAGAGAGTGAGGAATAGAAGGAAGAGGGGTAATCGTTGTTGCTTGTTTGTGTTGTGTTCAGCTTAGTACTATCTTCACTAAGTATGGAAGGGTGCAGCTAATGAGGGGTAAATACCATGTGAGATGCATGAAGATGACTGATCAACTGCACTTCCCCTGGGTTTCCTCCCCCTCTCTCTTCTTCAACTGCGATAAACTCGTTGATCTGTTATCTTCACGATCAGGGTCTGATCTTGATGGAGATTGCAGTTCTATCGGACTGATAATCGCTGCGCTCGACCGGGTGCATCTCCCCAAACTGATCCGATAAGCAAATCCAGCTGTGCATTCCCCATATCTCCATCACATCTATCTCCATATCTCCAATCTTTCCCTATCACTGCCATGGTTATTGCCCGTCCCTGCCCCGCGATTTGATTGCCCGGGTCTTATCAGAGTAGTAGTTGGGGAGCTTTAACCGCCAATTACTTCCGTGTTATTGCCCAATCACTCGCCCCTTGCCCCAGCGTCATCCTTGGTTCATGGCAGATAAGTGATCTCACGGTCTTCTGCACGAGCCTCCCTTGCGCCATCTCGTTTCCTTGTCTGCCATCTCAATCCCCCAGATATTAGGTCTTTACATCCCATCTCTTTGTTCCGATCGTTTGTACTGTGGCTGCCATCTTCTCTATCCTGGAGTTATCGTGCATCTCCGCAATGGAAGGTAATCTCCCCCAGCAACAGTGTCACCCAGCTTCTACAGCTGTGGAAAAGGATGACCTGGTTATCCCAGTAAGTATTTCCGTGAGCGGCCATTCCCCCTGTTATTCACTCCACGTGCTTGCTTGTGTCTTGTGTCTTTTTGGTCTGTTCTGGTCTTAGTCTCACCTGGTGTTAACGTAGATCATCGACTTCGGACCTTTTCTTAACGGCACCCCCGCCGATAAGCATGAGGTCGCCATGTCCATCGTAGACGCTTTCAAATCATCCGGCTTTCTATACCTCAAAGACCACGGCATTCCTCCTTCCGTTGTCTCCGGTGTATTTGGCTCTTCAGGTCGCTTCTTCGGTCGATCGCAGGATCACAAAGATAGTCTGTGCTGGACTACCCCACAGTCGAACCGTGGATACGTCAAGACTGGGCAAGAGAAGCTAAGCACGGTCGATGACGTGGCGGGGACCTCTCGAACCACTCCCGACCTGAAGGAGACAATGGAAATCGGTCGGGAAGGTGTGGATGGCTTTCCTAATCAGTGGCCCGACCACATCGATGATGAAGGGAAGGACTTTAAGCAGGTGATGTTGTCCTTTTTTGACATGTGCAAGTCTCTCCACATGGAGGTCATGCGGGCTATTGCACTGGGCATGAACTTGCCAGAGCACTTCTTTGATGCCTATGTGGATGCCGGCGACAATAACCTTCGCCTGCTGCATTATCCTTCAGTGCCTAAGGAGGTCTTCAAACAAAATCCGGGACAGGTTCGAGCCGGTGAACATAGCGATTATGGTTCCATTACGCTTCTCTTTCAAGATAGCCGTGGGGGACTGCAAGTTCGTAGTCCCAAGGGCACATTTGTGGATGTGACCCCCATCGCCGACACTGTGGTTATTAATGCTGGCGATTTGCTGGCTCGATGGTCCAACGACATCATCAAAAGTACCCGACACAGGGTTGTCGAACCCCCAACAGCAGTCGGGGAGGAAGAGCATGATTCCGTTATCTACCCTGATCGCTACAGTATTGCATATTTCTGCAATCCCAACATGAACCAATTCATTGAAGCTATTCCTGGGACCTTCGAGGAGGAGACCCGCCCTGCAAAGTATCCTGGAATAACCACGGGCGATTATCTGGTCCAGCGCCTTACAGCAACCATATAAAAGCTCCATTCCAGTCGCTGCAGGTCGCATTCGCATTCATTGAACTAATATTATGCTCAGCGGGTCTAGGCATCGTATTTAACATTTTTTTCCAAACATATAGCATCTTGTATTGGGTTATGCATGAACGTTCCTTCCTAGCTCAATGAGAATATATGTATATACGTGCCATTGTGTTCTGTTTCAGTTCCAGCCTTCGGTGTCGAGTACCTAACAACTTGGCAACGTGCTCAGCCAACCCCCATCGATAATTGTGATGTTGCCATTGGCATATGCCCCGCTGGGACTAGCCATCCACAGAACCAAGCCTGCAAACTCTTCATGGCGACCAGCGCGACCGGGAGGCAGTTCGCTCTTGGGAAAGGCACCATCCGAGGCTGATGACTTGGTGATTCCAAACGCTATCTTCGTCATCTCAGAAGGAAACAATCCCGGTGCTATACCATTCACACGGATATCGTACGGTGTGAGAATGTTGGACAGTGTCTTGATCAGGTGATGCACCGCACTCTTGGAAATATTATATGCGATGCTATGAGGCACGGCTCGAAAATGACCGGCTACCGAACCAACTATGATAACCTGTGCCTTTGGTGTCGGGAGTTGGTCCTCTATGGGAGCCGGTCTTCTCTCATTTGCTGCGTTGAGCAGAGACAAAAATGCAACAACAGTGAAAAACGTCCCTTTCACGTTGATATCCATGAGCTTCCCGAAATCTTCTTCTGGGGAGGACCACAGATGATCTCGGAACTCGGCAAGACTTGGGATTGACCCGTCCGGCTTTGGCTTTGGCGGTGCCATTGGCAGACCTCCATAGCCGCTGTTGGCGATGAGTAGGTCGACATGATCTGTCTGTGCTGCGACAGTCTCATAGGCTGCCTGCAACGACTCTTTCGATGTTATATCCGCCTGGACTGGAATAATGGTGTCTTTTTTGCTAAGAGATACGGTCTCTTGCAAAACATCCTCTCGACGGCCAAGGATGAAGACTTTTGCAGCACCGTTCTCGGCCAGGGCAAAGGCTGTTGAACGGCCCAGTCCTGGAGGGTAAAAATAGTCAGTCACACGAACTTTGCGGCAGTAAGGGGCCCAGCTTACCTGTGCCACCGCCGGTTAAGACGACAACCAGTCCTTCGACCGACAACAACTGGGCAGCATTGAATTGCGACATGTTCTAATACTGTCAAAAAGTGTTATCCCCTTTCTTACAGATGTGATCGTGAAGAAATGCATAAAAAGGACCAAGGTTCACCGCAAAAAATTGGGGTTTTGTAGAGGGCGATGCAACTGGCTCAATCAGGCATATCACCGTGGGGGACTGCGTCAAATGACGCTTATAGAACTTTGTGAAACCCGGTTTTGCCGTTATTTCTATATTAGCTATCTTGCATGCCCTAAGTTCGAGCGGCCCAGGTAAGTGGTCAACTGGCAAAGTGAGAACATCCCCGCGAGCAGCATACCCTCAGCGCAAGCTCACGACTGGTGCTGGCTATATTCGTGACACCTGCCATCACAAGAGCAACAATGGCGACATGCTACCTGCCATAGTAACTAGGTGCTGATATCGGGCACGGGCCGGAAACAGCTGATCTCTAGCCATTCATACCTCGCGCGGTAACTGCTACCTTGCCGGGCTGTCATTCCGTTGGATATCATTCCCGTCCAACCATGTAGCGAATCCATTGACCAAGCCCACCATCGGCTGTCTGGCCTATTGTGAGTAAGTGGACTGGGTCTGCATGTTATTTTCTTTGTTGCGAAGTAAAGTGATTGTTGTACCGAACGGAATGCTGGTTTCAGACTGACACATCTGTAGAGCATCCTCAGGCACTACGCGAGACCTGAATCCGGCGTCTGGGTCGGTGATAGGCTACAAAGCTTCCTTACGTGATACAATTTACTTTTCCCCTGGGAAATTACTATGGCACTTTCATCCGTTCCTTTAAGGGGTCGTTCCACTCGTCAGTCCAACCCGTATGCATACTTGAAAGCCACGCCGTGTGGCTTGAGTGTAATGACCACCGTACCGTTCGCTCCCTAAGCATTTTCCTCGAAGTCTTGGGCTTAACCAGGCATACCTCGATTTTCTCTTTTCTCTGAAGTCAGTCATGGTGGGTCTGCGGTGTGAGCTTCATTGTGTTCCATATTTCCGTCGTCTTCCGTGAGGGTCATGGATGATGAGAAGGTTACATCCACGCGCATCCGAACTCCAACAAAAATTCCTGTTTCGACAAGTTCAGTGGATAATTTCTCCATTGCAGACAGCCGTAAATACTATGATTGCCCGATTGCGTCACAAATGGGAGGTGACATGACGAGCACGATGTGCTGGCTACCAACGTATTTATGTACCTGCTGGGTGCCTGTCGAGCTTTCGGGTTTCAACAAGTTGCGGAAGTTTAACTTTTTGGTATACAACCGCTGATCAGCATGACTTTATATCGTTTGATCTTGCTTGGCTCAATGGGCTCCTTGCCCTTGAGTCTGGCATTTCCCCGCCTCAACATTCCTCGGCAAGTCGGGAATGCGACGGGCGTTGCGCCTGGCATCGCACCTGGTAATGCGACTGCTCCCGGTGTTGCCCCTGGAACTGCCCCTGGAACTGCTCCTGCCACTGCCCCTGCTACAGCTCCTACTGCCCCTGCGGCTGTAGCTCCTCCGCCTGTCGTGACATATTCCACAACCCAGGCCCACACTCCGTACACTGGGGTACCGACAACGACTGGGGCACTCAGTCTTGGCCCTATCGGCCCTGGCATTTCGCCCTTGGGCATTCCTCCGGAGGCTACCACCTACCCTAGTGATGGCCAGCTTCATAGTCCCCAGCCTGGGCCTTATATCCCAGCAGGGGGCGTGGGGACGAATGGGACTACCCCTGTTTATAATGCAAAGAGTGACTTTGACTACGAATCTTTGGTGAGTGTTGACTTGACCTTTTCACGGATTCCTGCTCCTGCTAACACGATGTCAGGCCCTTGCGTTGTACCAAGAGTACATCGAGCTCGACCTCTTCCATGATGGACTGGCACGCTTCTCTGTTGACGACTTCACTGCTGCGGGGTTGACAGCGGAGGATCGTTTCTTGATCGAGTTCATGGCGGATCAGGAAGTCGGCCATGCGACCATGTTGACCAACATCTTGGGCGCAGAGGCACCCAGACAGTGCAACTATGTATACCCTTATACCACAGTTCACGAGTTCTTGGATTTCTGCCAGAAGCTTACCCGCTTCGGAGAGGCCGGTGTGTATGGGTTCTTGTCCCATCTGGACTCGCGCGAAGCAGCGAGTCTTCTCACTTTGTCCATCACCACGGAGGCTCGCCAGCAAATGATCTTCAGGCAATTTGAGGGACTCTTTCCCATGCCAGTCTGGTTCGAGGTCGGTGTTCCTCAGTCATGGGCTTGGACTTTGCTTGCTCCGTATATTGCCTCTTGCCCAGAAGGCCAGACACGCCTCGCTTGGCAAAACTTCCCAGCACTGTCTATCCTGAACCAGCCGAACCCGGTTCGTATCAACGGCGCTGATGCTTGGAGGGAGACTATCACCAATGGCACAAACGTGTTGAACAGCACGGCGGTCCCCAGCTCGCAAGCTTGCCAGAACAATGATGCCGTGGGTATCAACTGCTCCCCTGCAATCACCCACAACCGCACAAACCCTCTGTCATTCCCTGGCCGGGAAGTCTTCCTGTCTTGGGATGCTCCAGGACAGCCCGTTGGGCCGAACAATAGCTACGTGACCTCGACTACCGCTGGAGCCCCGAAGTACGTGGCGTGGGTGACGCAGCTGAATGTGACCTACTCTGAGTTGACTCTCAATGGCTCGAGATCTGGATCGACAATTCAGCCCAATGTTGAGACCTACGCAGGTGATCCGGCCGTGAATGGCACCATGTTCATTGCCATTACTGATACGAACCTCTACGTGACCCCGTTCAACATCACCATGATCAACCCTCATGTGGTCGCTGGGCCGGCTCTCTACCAGTCTGGTTAACGAGTGGAAGTATGGCTTGTCAAGGGTGGATTTAGCAGGAAAGGCATGCCTTGGACGTGTGATTCCTCTCGCGAGATGTTTCATTTCGATGATGTATTTGGTTTCTGACAGGGAAAGGGAACTTTCATGTCTTGACTATCTGCTGAGCCGGTTGTAATTCTATTAGTTTTTAATCTAGGACTCTATTTAGCTACTAATGAAGACGTGGTTGAAGGTTATCTATATTGTGCTGGATTGTAGCATCTAGATATGTTGTACAGTGTAGACGGGCAGCCCACCAGCACGGCTAACCCCGCTTAACTCCGGCGGTGATACATCATTTCAAGTTGACACCGGAGCTTCACCTGAGACAACCCCCTGCTTCTCGTCTTGTCGCGAACCATCGCCCCTTTTCTCGCCAATAACTAGCGACGCATATTCACACGACTCCGGCACCATGGAAGGTCCGAGGAACCGGAAGCAGCGACGAGCAGCAGCGGCAGCAGCGACAACTGTCGACAGCGACACGTTCGATCCCTCCTCGATTCCCCTCGCGCGCCCTGCACCGAATCCCCCGAAGAGCAAGGAGAAGACCTTGATGGACATTATATCTGAACGGCAAAGCGAACTTCTAGGCCAGGCAAACGCCCCGACTGGGACCTCTGACTCGAGTCCCCGGTTTGTGACCATCGACCCCACGACCGGAGACATTTCCGGCCTCAACGCATCAGAGCTCGCGGCGGTCAAAAATGGGCAGGATATCAGGCGAGTTGAAGATGTCACGGACGAAACGGCATCCACTGAGGAGGAAGAAGACGATCCTGAAGAGTCCGACCATCCTATCCCGCCCGTCATCGACACGCTCCTGCTTTCAGTCCCCCTGACCACCCTCCACCTGACCCTCGCGTACCTCGCAGCCCATCAATATGCCGAATCCATCGAACTAGACAACCTCATCCGCGAATCAGTATTCGTGGCCTTTCCGATGCTGACCCTGCTGGTCCATCTTGCTCACGGACACGTCGTCTCCTTCATTGGCAGCACTGGCAGGTCGAAGTCCACCGAGACGATCTCGCTTCTGCCCTGGGACAGCGAGAAACTGACGTTAGAATTTTTCCGAAAACTGCTCTTTCCTCCGGCATTACGTACCATGGTGTTCCTGCCGATGGCGGTCGCTCTTGGCTGTAAGCTGATGGTCATAACCAACGACGAACCATACTACGCGGTGATGAGGGGGGCGCCCGCCATCGGGACAATATGGATCTGGAGCATTTTGGAGATACCGTTTGGGGCAGCCGTTATCGGGGCGTTGGGGCCATTGGCATGGGGGGTATGGTGGAAAGGCTACGGGATACTCTGATCGAAGCGGAGCAGAGCAAACATCGCTGAGTGAGATTATCGATCAACGCCCGGATCGCGCGATTTGCGCGTCCGTTAGGATGGAAGGAACTGCATCCTGGTACAACAGACATGCTTTGGTCTGGGACTCGACCTGCGCCGGCGCCTCGGTTATGATGGCTCGATATGCACCAGCAGCACCGGTCGGGCGGCGGGCTTGCACCATGCCAGTGGTGGGTTTTAGGATATCCCCTCTCCTGGAGCAGACACTATCACGTCACTGCAGGCACATAGTTACAATGTCGTCCCTTTTTTTTTTTGTTTATTCTATTCTATCTTTTCCTGGTTTACCGCCATCTTTACCGCCACTGACTTGACGAAGGCTGGGAGGTCGCAAACTCAATCACATTTGATGTTGTACAACGTCGGTTGCTTCATCACGCACGTACGGTGCAGAAGTCGGTGACGACAGCTGCTGATGAGTATCTGCTTTTGGGCCATGAATGACCCGCCGGACTTCCGGTTATGAACGATAGGCTATCCTGGACGGCATTTCTTTAACTCGAATCTTGGAATCCCGGTCGCATGTGAACATGGAACATGACTTGAATCAACTGGGTAGAGTTGGAAAACCTTAGATGGAGAGGGGAATAAAGAAACTACGACAAAAAAGAAAATAATAATTAAAAACTGGACAATTAACGGTCTTGACATCGGGGATCAGTGAATCCCGAAACCGCGCCAACAACGCTCTTTTCTTTCTTCACTACGAAGTATACTCGGTTAGATCCTCGACTCGGGGTTTGTTTGAGAGCATGACCACCACCATTATTGCGAACATGGATGTCAATCGTGCTTCTACCCCTCCTGGACCATGTCGGTCGACGTGGCAATGCAGTCAAGTGGGAAGACCGTTGCGACTAGTGCCTACTCCATAATGCAACCCCTTGGGGGCCGCCAGGATCCAGGCAGCAGCTGCCAGGATGACCCGTTTGGATGCGTGGTGGTCGTTTCCGGAGAGACCGCCAAAAGAGCCAGGCTGGGGGCGGCGGCGATGAAGCCAGGGCACAAGCTGGACCGGGAGAATATTACCGACGGCGAGAGGGAAGCAGGAGCTTACGAACAAGCGGTGGTCCAGGAAACCCGGACTGGCATGACATGGCGTCTGTCTAATTCTTCTAGTGGCTGCAGCTAGTTCACTGGCCCTGTCACATGACCTGCACGTTGCTCTCCCCGGCGCAGCCTCTGTCTCTCGTGCAGTTTTCATTGAGAAAAGAGTTGAGGGTGAGGGTGCAGGCTGCAGAGAGTTCCTGTCCGGTGTCCACTTCCTCTTCCCCTCCCGCGTGCACCTTGGGGTTGTTGGGAAAGGAAAATCATGACCCAGTGATGCGCGGGTCCAACCCACTCCCTCCTCCCAACCGCAATGACATGCCGATCAGCGGACGGATGTCAGGCTTGGGGCCAAGTGTGGAGGATGCGCCATGGCGAGGCTCTGCGACGGTGCCACCCGTGCTGAACATGAACCTCAGCCGGATGAATCTGAATCTCAATCAAGACGGGACAGGACAGCTGAGTCTTTGCGAAGGTTTACTACTACTATTACTACAACCTTGGCGGAAAATTATCAGGGAAAGTCAAGTCAATTGCCCCATGGATGGGCGAAAATAGGTCGATCCAAGATCTGATTCGCGATCCTAGCGGTGACCAGCCCAACGATGGCGATAGGAGCAACAACCCTGTTGGGCAAAGACACGGAGAGAAAAGCCGGAGATTCCGACAAAGCAACATCGTCCATCCGGTTCAATAGTCGCGACGGATCCAAACTGGTTGACAGCCGATGGTGTGTAACCTTCCGCAAGCGGACTGCCGGCGGGGGAAAAGAAAGAGGGAAAAGAGGAGGAAGTGGATGACAATCGGATTGTCCCGCGATCCAATCGATCATCATCCTCATCGAAGCGATTGTATGCCACAGTTGGATAGTTAGTCCTCCGCCCACGAGGCGGCGCTGGGCTTGCGAGAGACTAGTGAGTTGGGCCGTGGGTGGGTGTCGTCATGATCCATTTCTCCGAGATACAAACCGGCTGAAGGGTGTAGATCGTACAGAGATTGCCGATAGTAGATACTAGATAGATGGAAAGCACTCGAAATTCAGCCTGATGAGAGAGATAGAAAGCATCATCCAGCACCACAATAACCCAAGATAGAAAAAGATAGAACCAAAGACTATCACAAAGAACCCACCATATTAGTGATAGCCCACTGTGGCAAGACAGTGTGTCCGTGTGTGTGGCGCAGAGCTGAAAACCCATCCAAGCCATGCGATAGACTTAGTGCCAACCTACTTTAGTTCAGAGAAATAGTGAGTTAGCCGCTGAACCAACTAACCAGTTAGTCCAGGGTTCAGAAAACGAATGGAAAGATAGGAGAAAAGAAAAGAAAGAAAAGTGGGCAGGGCAAGAACTCGAACTATTGCGACACTAGTACGGGCCGGACTCAACTTAACCTCGATTTTCGGGTCATGGGAGGATCCATCCCCTTTGATTTCCTTTTCGAGAATTTATATTCCTTGTGATTGATCGGTGTGGAGAAAGATGTCTTTGATTGCTTTTTGTGTTGTTTTCTTCAGATCTATCCATCTATCCATCTTGTACTTTTGTCTTGTCTTGTCGATCGGATAGGAGAGGATAGTATGTTGTTAACGTGTTAGGTATCATCGGTAGAACAAAGACACGAGCTGGATAATAGACTACCTTGTGATTAGCGGATCACGCTAGTTAATTAGTAACTTAGTAAAGTGTCGCAAGGCGGCGGGGGGGATTGAATGTCATACCATGTCATGTCATGTCACTTCGAGTCAGACCCTGGTCGGGAATAGATGAAAAGGAGATTACGATTGGGTGAAGGACTTGTTTAGTTAACACCTGTCATTTAATATATTATTAATTGTCTACTACGTACCTACGGAGTAAGTAGGAAAGTAGGCAAGTAGTTACGTGTGTAATTCTTTATCTCTCCATCGGAGGAACAGACGGAGTTTAGTCGGGTTTACTTGATCAAAATAGATTATTAATCTAGATGAAATGGTTAGTTATCTACTATGGATGAAAGCTAAGAAATAGAAACCTAATAAGGATAAGAGTTGTGAAAATCGGAAGAATATGAATCACAAGATAGAAACAAAAGTAGTGTCTACAAATGTAGTAATTGTAGTTTTTCATTAAATGTAAATAGTAGGCTACAACCCGAAAATGGCAACAATTGTCTACTACTAGGTCGGTAGATGGTAAAGTTCACCAACTCCAAACTTTAACAATATCCGGGAATTGGTATGCGATACTAGGATCAGATCCCTTCATTTCATCACTAAGTAGATAGACTCCATCCACACGTACTCCATTAACTAAGAATGGGAAGACAAGTGGGAATTTTGGGGAAAAAGTAAACAACAAGCCATCATCACCTTACATTAGGGATCTGTCCCTCAACCATGGTACCGAGTGTGCATATCCTGGGAAAGAAAAAGCATAACCTTAAAAAGAACTAAAGAAGCGAAAGCTGGGAAAGCTAAGATTGGGTGAACCATATTTCTTTTTGTCTTTTCTTTCCGTGATCAGAAAGCTTAGTGGAGAAAACATTATCTACAAGAACTAGAACTATATTTATCGCTTAGAGAAAGAAAGAAA